AGAAAAGAAAAGAAAAGAAAAGAAAAGAAAAGAAAAGAAAAGAAAAGAAAAGAAAAGAAAAGAAAAGAAAAGAAAAGAAAAGAAAAGAAAAGAAAAGGAGTTCAGTTGCCTGATGAAAATATTCAAGGTGTCCTTAGCATCAAAGGGCAGCAAGTCAGATTAGCATAAGATTTTACTACCTCTTCCATACCAGCCATAGTATTTTGTACACACCTTTCAAATTATATCAGTCTTGAAGAGTCATGTCCTTGCATTCCTTTGGGGATTGGAATCATTACATACAAGCAGAGAACACAGCTTGGGGCAGAGTTCTTGTTAGAAACATCCCAACAGAATGGAACAGGAGTATTGGAGATATGATTTCGGTGCAAAGGAATCGTGTTGAAAAGCAGAAATTAACAAACTTTCATAGGGGACTTCTCATATTTCAACAGCACCTTCCTGGCAGAAGAGATGAGACATAAAAGTAATGACGAACAAAAAGTAATTAAAATACAACACCCTCTGACTTTGCAACCTCAAGGATGTTATCAAGCCAAACATATTTATGCCTTCTTGAAATTTTAAATATGATTTAATAAAATATCTGACTTGTAAAGTGTTTAAGTTTTTGAGACTGACGTACATTTGTCTCATAACAATTCATGCATAGCCAAACTGAATTATGGCTCTATATCTCAATTTCTTTATATTACTATAATGCCACTACTTTGGTCTTCTTAATCCTTTTGCAGCCCTTCCTAACGTGTCCTGGAGGGCTCCAGCCCTCTTTGCATTTTTACTCCAAATGTAGCCCTCTCAGAAAACAAGAAAGTAACTGGCAAGTCAATAAAAGTTCACGGAATTGACCACTTCCCTAGAGTCATAGCCAAAATGACTCCACCAAACTACTGAATTCTCAGGAATCAAATGAAATACAACATGCAGAACAGCTTCTGTTTTTCCCCTCCCAAAGCCATAAAACAACAACGGCAAAGACGGTTTTTCTGGCTGTAGAGAAGGCCAGTTTCAGAAGACTATTCATAGAAGAGTAATTTCCAAAATTTGAGACATCTGTACAGTCAGCCACCATTTATTGCCCAGAACAATGTTGCATAGTGTTATTCAGTACAACCCTCCACAGTCACCTCCAGTTTCTCAGACCTACAGTTGTTACATTTGTTTCTGCCCTTCTCTGTAGCACGAGCTATAGAAAGATCCTTTTCTGTCTCCCCTCCTCATCCTGTCCTCTCCTCTCAAATATTTTTCTTACTTTCATTTAGTCTTGTGGTCTCTTTGTAACATTTCTGGGTTTTCAGAACTCTTCTAGTCTATGTGCATGACTTGCAAAATATCCCTTTAGACTTTTTTTTTCTTTTTTCTGGTAGAGCTGTGTTTGCAAATGGATGAATCATAAACTTCACAATTTTCTTTTTTTTTTTTTTGAGAAATAATTTCTACCTAAAATTTAACTAGAGTGTTTATGGATATCTTATGTCCAAGGGGAAAGAAACTTGAAGTCAAACTTCTGTGGTCCTGGCAATGTTCAGAAGTAAATTTGGGACTGGGGGTGGGGAGAGGAGATGACAGGAGGGTTGTCTTGCAAGGAAATGCTTGGCTCACTGGACACTTGCCTTTTTTCAGGTGCAGTTCCATCATAAAATTAGGACTGCAGGGATTAAATAACAAAAAAATCTCACTCCAGTATCTGCTAGAATAAACGATCTGAATTTTTATCTTTACTGTGAGGAGAGTGATAAGATCAAGGCTATAACTGGTTGAGAAGTTCATGGAAGTTTCTGAATTGATGATGTCAAATTGCTCCATCACTGAATGCCTTTGACACTGAGTGAACAAAATGTTTGTTCCCAGCCTAGAACTATTGACTTGTACAGCAATCATGTAGCCAGCCTAACTGACCTTATTTGCAGAGAGTCATCACAGTGGGGTGAGCACTGCCTTAAAGCAGAGTTGGTTCTGCCTGTACAGGCTGCCAGGGCAGCAGAGGAAAAGTTGCCAGTACAAAAGGCAAGATCCGGAAAAGTCACGCAGTGTTGTTATTTTAAAAAATTACTTCCTGTTTGGGTGAATTGACACAAAGATCTAATTATGCTTATTAGAGAGATTCCTCTGCCCGAACCAAAGTGCAGATGAGACATGTGCCAAAGTCAATAGTACGGATTTTATTTAACAGTAAATATCAGGTGGAGAGAGATAGAGAAATAGAGGAGAAGAGAGGGTGAGAAACAGATTAAGTAGGAAGAGACACCCCACCCCCACAGATCCAGTGGCATTCTGTTGCTCCTCTTCACCCTGCTCCCAGTGGGGGCCCCAGGAAACATGGAGTTTAATGGATTATTATATGTTCAGGTGTATGCAGGAATGCCCAAGCACCTCCTCCCCAGCAGTTAACAGACCTCTGGTGGAAGGCCTCAGGAATGAGTCTGAGGGTCTTTGATGATTTATGACCCCTTCTAAGACATGAGAGCAGCCTCCTTTACAACTGAGCCAAAACTCCTCAAACACCCCAAACCTCTCCTCCCCCTCAGCTGGTAGGAGAGTGAGTATACCTGGCCTTAGCAAATGAGCCTGTGGGCTATGGCCTCCCCCTGCCCCAAACAGACAGAGCTGATTTTCAGGACAGCTGCTGAATTGACTTTCCTTGTGAATACATTCTTCTCCCCCAGCTTTGTTTACTTCTCCTTGGACCTGAGATAATTGAAATTAATGATGCCCTGTTCTGTTGTGTGGCCACTCAGGTGCCCGATTGCCCTTTATCCAGGGATGCCACTGTGGGGCAGACGAACAACAGTGGCTCTGTGCTGCAGACATCTCCCCTCCCCTAGAGCTTCAAGCCTTGCAGTCCCTGCTTGGGACTTTACAGACTACTTTGTAAACTAACAGAAACAATACAAATCAGAGAAAAATGGTCTACTTCGCTTTTCTATTTGAAGTTCTTGGATTATTTTAAATAATTATTTGCTGAAGATATCAAAACTATGGCTGATACACGATAAGAAAGCCTCAATTTGTTTTTCTCATCTTACAAAGACAGTACAAATCTACTTTTTAATAAGCATTTCTGATCCCCTAAACTTCTTTAGCCTAGTTCTTCCTGACAACACAGTGGCTAATCTCCAAGACAATAGTAATTCTTTATCTAATTGAAGAAAAGCTGTTGGAGAACAGCGTATTAGGCAATGAGGCATCTCCCTATTTCAGTAATATCGTGGCAGAGAAGTTCTTGAAGACAAGATATGAAGGACCCGATTTTGGGGTTCCAGTTTCCTTTGCATTGAGAACATCTGTGTCTATGAGGGGAGAGAGGAGGGGGGAGAGGAGGTGGATGGAAGGCAGCAAACATGGTGCAGATGGCAAGGAGTGTATTTATCTACCCCCTCCCCAGTTTGCTGGCTGATGTTCTCCTGTAGAGGGGAAAACATCCTCTCCTTGTCCCTGCTTACCTTCTTTAGATAAAGGTCCATCCAGCCTGCAGGACTTGGGAGCAGCTGAAGCTGTTGCTGAGGAATTCCCTGTGGGTCTTGGAGTCCTTCCTTCTAAGATCAAACTTGGCAGCTACAGTGAGCTCCAGCAGCTTTCATGAGTAAAGGTGGGAAGGCAGATTATCATTTATACTGCCTAGATTATGCAGTGTGCTTACTCCTTCCCACCCTTATTATCTCTTCAGACTTCAAACTGTACTGCCAAAGACCAAACATTTTCTGCATAAATATTAAATAAAGGAAAAACACAATTACAACTCAGTCGAGGATGAATCTTGAAAGAGGAAGGAGAGGTGAAATGGGCTGCTAGTGACTTCAAATTTTCTTTGTGTTTATTTTTCATTTTCCGCTTTTACAATTTTTCAAAATATGCAAGACATATTTTGAGATGTGACAGCAATAAAAAGAAAAAGCTTCAAAATTATTACTTTTATTGTGCTAACAAGCATTTTAATCTAGGTTATTTTTGTCTTAAATAAAAAAATATATTTTAGCAGCAGTAGCAAAGAAGTGCTGTGTTCATATACAGAGATATAACTATTAAAAAGTAGACATTTATACTGAGTATTTCTTCTTAGGATATTCTTGCAAATGCAGAATTATAGAATAGTTTGGATTGGAAGGATCCTTTAAAAGTAAACTAGTCCAGCCCTCTGAGATGCGCAGTGACATCTTCAACTAGACTAGGTTACTCAGTAATTAATAATTAGAGCCCAGTTCATCCTGGTCTTGAATGCTTCCAGGGCTGGGTCATCCACCACCGTTCTGGGCAATCTATGCCAGCATTTCACCACCCTTATTGTAAATAATTTCTTCCTTATATCTAATCTAAACCTACCCACTTTGCAGTTTAAAACCATTCCCCCTTGTCCTATCACTACACACCCTTGTAAAAAGTCCCTCTCCAGGTCTCTTGGAGGACTTCAAGTACAAGAAAGCCACAATTAGGTTTCCCTGAACTCTTCTCCAGGCTGAACAAACTCAGCTCTCTCAGACCTCAGAAAGGAGGTGCTCCAGCCATTTTGTGGCCCTCCTCTGCACCATACCCACAAGTGGGATGCATTCCCCTTCTTGAGTACTTTTCTGGTATTTGAAATAGTGATATACTTGGGATAGGAGCAAACCAAATCACTACAGCAGTGCTTAACACTAGACATT